CGGAAGAGAACCGGCAGGGCTCTTATCCCCATATCCCCCCACCTGTCAGCATCTGCAGGCACATGCTGTGCTTCTGGCCTGTGCATTTCCGGAGGAAACTTCTGCCACAGAGATTTACATGCTCCACTCTAAAGGCAAGCCCCCAACCTGTGCACTGGACCCGATCCACCTTTGCTACTCAAGGACATCCCACCAGTACTTCTTCCCGCTCCACTAGACCATTCCTACCAGCTTACAAACATGCTGGCATTTTTCCCACTTAAAGAAAAACACAAAAAACCCTTTTATTGACTCCATTTTCCCCGTCAGCTATCACCCCCTTTCCTCGCTTCCCACTGCAATAACATTCTTTTTAAAAGTTGCCAATACCTGCAGCCTCCGGTTCCTCTCCCCCATTTCTCTCTTTAGCCACTTCAGTCAGGCTTTCATTTCCAACAGGCTGCCCCTGACAAGGTCATCAGTGGCCTCCATGTTGCTAAACCGAATGGTCAGCTCATTCCCAGTCATTCTATCTGATCCATCAACAGAGTCTGGCGTTGCTGATCACTCCCTCCTCCCTGTCGCACTTCCTGGAGCTCCCTGGGCACCTCCTTCACTTGTTGCCCTTTCTCTCTCTCCTCTGCTGGCCCCTTCCTCCTCCCAGACCTCTTAATATCTGACTGACCCAGGCTCAGTCGCTGGTCCTCTCCTCTTCTCCGTCTAAACTCACTCCTTAGTCCCATGGCTTTAAGCACCATCTATAAATACGCATCACCACTTACTTTTGTAAAAAGAAACACAGGAAAGATATACCAGAAACTAACAAGATTGATTACCTACATGGGTTGGGTGGGAAGGGATGAGGGGGAGTGATGCTTCTCTGAGAACACCTTTGCGTAGTTTTGACTTTTGAGCCATGTTAATATTGTACATACTAAAAAATGATGATAATAAAATCAACCAGGATGAGGAAAAACTCTGAAATGGAAACAAATAAAAACAAGTGTATTTCAAATGAATAATATAACCATATTGAAGGGGGATGGGTAGGAATGAATTAACCCAAGTAACTTTTGAGCACAGTATTTAGACTGTGTGTGACCCCTCAAACTAAAGATAAAACACACTGTAAACAAATACTGAGCTCTTATTACCAGGTTTGTTTTTCACAACAGTATGGCTTAGCAACTCTGAAATTACTCTAGGATTAGGCAAATAAATCAATATATTGATGAGAATGGGAGCCAGGTTTCTCACAATCAGAGAAGAGAGTTATAGATATGGAAAGGAGAAAGACTAGAGTGAACCCAGTGGTGTTGGAGAGATCAGAATTCATGGTTTTTGAAGACAGACAGACAGGAAGAAAGAAGAAAGAAAGGAAGGAAGAAACAGCCATGTGTATAGGATTATGGGTGTGTATATACACATATGATAATGATATCTGGTAGTAATGAACACACCTGACACTGAATGCCCCTTGGAAAAATGTATGACTCCAGAGCTGCATCTAAGAAACTACAGGATAAGCTTGGGAAGATCTTGTTTGCCAGTAGGTAAAGAAGTGCTCACATAATGATAGGCACAAGTTAAAGAACATAAGAGCTAGTTCGAAGGGGCTCCTACTGGCCAAATCTAGGACAATTTGAATAACAAAACAAATAATAAAAGTAAGGAATTGTAGTCCAGCAAATGAACTGGCAATCCATGAAACTATACGGATATAAATAAATTGGGGAGGTAAAACTCTTCCTTATAGAAGAATGCCAATGAATGTAGAAGGAATAATGGAATTAGAAAATAACCATTTGATAAACATCGTGATGATAATTGATTCAGGCAAGCATCATCAACAGATAATAAAACTAGGGGGTAAAAGTTTGATGAGGAATAAAATATATACATAGTCTCAAATTATCCCCTCAAAATAGTCATTCATTACAGAGGTGAAAATAGTTATTTTACAGTGGTAAAACTGTAAACTGACAGATAACACCTTAACCAAGTGACCAAAGTGGTGTATATTATCAGTAACAGTACAAAGCAACATCAAGTGCCTATTGATATGATGATGCCCTAGCTCTTTCCTCAGCCAGAACACTCTTCCCTCAGATACCCTGTTGGGTAACTCACATCACTGAGATCTTACTCATGTGTCACCTTTTCAATGAGAACGACCCTGACCACTCTTTTTAATACTGCAACTTGCCTCCACTCCACTCATTCCACTTATCTTACTCTACATTTTATTTTTTTATAGCACTTACTAGTTTTATAATTTTCTTCTCTTTTACGTTTATGGCTAACCCCACCCTACCCCCTACCCCCATTCACAAGAGTGTAAACATCACAGGAGCGGGGATCTATTTTGTTCACTGATGGATCCTAAGAGCCTAGAAGAATTCCTGGCACCTAGTAGGTGCTAAATTAATATTCATTAAATGCTAAAGGAAGCAAAGTGCTAGGCTATTAAGAGTAAGTACTACCTTGACCACACCTGGGATCAGAGGTAACTTCAGAATTTCTATAGAGAAGGGTCTGAGATGGCAATTATTTTGGAAAGTGGGCGAGAGGGTATTGTCTTGAGCCATGTCCGAACAGCAAGCACACTGCACTCAGACAGTATATCTACCTGGAGTGGTTGGAGAGGGGCTGATGAAGAGTAGGGAGGTTAATGTTCCACTCCCGCAGCCCGCCCCAACCTGAACTACTGTGTGTAACCCCCAGGCAGCTTTCACACTGATACACAGCTCCTGTCACACAAAAGCCACTTCTACTCTTGAAATAGTACGTTTTAACTCCCTGTTCCTAAGACATAATTTGAAAGTAGGCTTTTACCTGCACAGTTGACCATATATACTTCCATTTCACTTGGGATTTTTGATTGTAGCAGTAACAGTCTGACTGAGACGTTTTAATTAAATCCATTTCCTTCAAAGCTTTACATCTTGGAACTGAGAAACAGAAAAAAGAATGTATTTCCTAAATGTGTAATTGCTCAGAATCTTATCTTCTTTCTTTTTTATTCACAGGGTTAATGACGGCTGTTTTTGTAGTCTATGGCCAGTAAATTCTACATGGTAATTATAGTCCTTCAGTCTTCCCAATCTAGCAGGAGGCAGACAAAGATTACAGTCCAGTACCAATACTCTTATGACAGATGGAGGGACTGCAAGAGCACGGAGAATAGGCACTTCTTCAATCTTGAAGCAGAGGGCAAGGATTGAGGCAGGCTTCCCAGAGAGGAGGAAACGTGGGTGGAGCACTGAAGCACAGTCAGAGGCAACGAGACAGAAGTCAGAGGGTGGGGTGACAAATCTGTACAGAACCATGGAGATGAGGGAAATCACGGAAGTGCTTCGGCCATTCACGAGGACGGAGTGTGGGGAATACACAGGACATTTCAACACCTGCAGCCAGAGAGCTAGGTGGTTTCTGTTACACTGAGGAGTGTGGACTTCCTGCAGAAAGCAGACGAGGACGGAGTGTAGGGAATACACAGGACATTTCAACACCTGCAGCCAGAGAGCTAGGTGGTTTCTGTTACACTGAGGAGTGTGGACTTCCTGCAGAAAGCAGAGCATTGAAGGATTTTAGGTAAGTGTCAAAGTCTCGGCAAGACACTGTTGACATTCCAAAGGGTTTAACTGAGAAGAGTTCAGTGAAGATGCAGGCAGGGTTAAGGTATTAACAAGGAACCGTGAAGTTCCCAGGCACCAACAAGAGCAGAAAGCCTTCAACATCCCTAGGCCTGAAATGGCAAAGGGAGGACCCGTTGTTACTGGAGCCAAGAGGACAGTAGTCTAAGGGAATGCAAGCCCTGCCAGAGCTTCAGGGGGTGCTCTCTCCCGCCCTTCTGACAGTGCCTCTCATCTGCCAAACCCAATCGGAAGCCAGAGGGCAAAGAAGCCCACAGAGGCCAGCTTCCAGGAACTGAGCAGGGGAGAGCAAGGCACAGAATGGACCTGTGGGAACAGAGAACACAGTCATGTCTCAGAAAGAACATTCTGTAGGCCACGCGAAATGTTAGAGAGGAAGAAGACCGAAAGCAGAAGAACTGTGGAGGCTCCCGAAGCAGTCTAAACAAGAAACTAAGGAGGCAGGAGAAAGAACAGATGTAAGAGCACCTAGGAAGTGGAATCAACAGACTCAGAGATTCAGAAATGACCTGATGGTTCTGGTGAGTGGGATGAGGAATACTAGAGACGAAGCAAAAAAAGGGGAAGAGTTCAATTTTAGAAGTACTGAGTCTTGGTTGGTGGGGCCAGGTGAAGATGGATAGGTCTGTAGCACAGGAGAAGCTTGGCTGGAGACAGATGTAGTACATACATGTGTGTGTGTTCTGTGTAATACACAAAAAATATTTTATATATAGTATGTAATATATAATACAATATAACACAGTGTAACAGAGAGAGAGAGAAGACAGGTGCAGCATTACAGATGGTAAATGTAGTAAATGCCACAAGAAAGTTATGAAGTAATGGGGTTCATTTTTTTCTGAGGCTGCTGCTATATTTGAATTTAAAATGAAGTGAGATGAAAGTCACAGATGCTTCTGGACCCAGGATAGGGTATCACCACTACGTCTGTCAAATATGAAACAGCAACAGGGAATGTTTACACACACATCGAGAAACAGGCCTTATGCCCCAACCCTCACTCCTCTAAGGAGAGTGTGATCAGCTGTTTCTCCAGAAAAACCTGAAATGAAGCTAGAACAACCTGCTACACCAAAGTTGGGGAAGGATCGGGTAACCAGTAATAACAACTCGACAATTATATCCATTTAGGGAGTAACACTAAGTAAGTCCAGATAGGTCCTGGTCCTGCCTAGAAACACCTTAGCATTAAGCTGGAGAAAAGTGAAGAAACAGACACTGTGAATGCCCATCACCTCTGAAAATACAACTGCATAAAAGTCAAGGTTCTCAGGTGGCTGCACAAAGCAGGGAAGTTACACGAGGATCCAGTACCCTCCACTGTGATGCTGTGAAACCATTTAATCTTTACTCTTAACATTGTCATGCATATGTTTTTAAATATACCAAGAAATTTGCAGAGTTTGAGAGTATGAGATGCAAATATAAGAATCCAGGTTAAGAGGCAGATCTCAAAAAGGCACGAGAAGGGAGCTCTAGAGGCTCTCTTTTAAATATAAGATACAAAAATTAAAAATGCATTCTTTCATGGTCTGTTTATACACAAAGGCAAAGGAGAATGCAGACCAGTGTTAACAACACACACAAAGCAACAGATGCTGAGGAGCCTTCTTGGGTGTATCTGAGACACAAATGACTCCTGGCCACGGGCCGCACAGGGGACAGGGCCCTCCCGGGACCCCAAGGGGCTGCAGCTGGCAGTATGAAGGATGCGTGTCCAAGGAGGCAGTGCGGACCCTGGAAGAGCCTGAGCGACTGCGATGATAACACACCACGCACGTTAAAAGCCCTCAGCTAGTGACCACAGGGACGGCTCCAGACTCGCCTTCTGGTATCCCATGTTCTGCCTTCCGCAGTCCCCTGTGGGCTCTCTAGGCAGGAATAGGGTGAAATCAGGCGGCTGGAATTGAGAACCTTATGCTGGGAGTCCCCAGTGGAAGAGGGGATTCCTACCTATCGTCAGGAAGGGAGCACACTCTGGGGCTGGGGTCAGGTGAAGAGTGTGAGGTCTATGGTCTGCAGACCCCAGTAGCCCAGACCATCATGAGAACGTTAACTGCAGCCCGTTCTTTCTTCAGGGTTACTCCTAACACCATACCCGTGCTCACTAGGGGCTTTTCTTGTGGTCTTCCCAGGGTCCCTCCGGGCATCCCCTCTCCTAGAGAGCGTTCCACCACTTCAAGGGCTGAGTCAATTCCCCTAAGTACACGAACTACCCTCTTGTTAGTGGTCTGAGGAAAAAACCCTTTGGAGACTGAGCTTTGCAAGCAAACGCTGCCTTTGTGAGGTTTTTTTTCTTTCCATTTTGGTCCTAAGACTGTCTCCTAAATCATTTGATATCTGTAACTCTTCAGATAAGAGCAAGATGACGCAATTTGGGTAGAGTGCAATAGCTTGAATTTAGTAGTAAATGCTTCTCTGCTGTCCAGGCCGCAGTCTTCTTGCACTTGGGTTACTATAAGGGACTTCTAGCTGGTCTGCTTCCAGAATCGCCCCTACGATGCCCCCCTACAACCTATTCTCTAATCAGTACAGGGACCTTTTAGAAACATCAACCAGAGCACAGCATTTACATGCTCAAAACCCTCCAATGACTTCTCATGCTCCTTCGGATAGATAACATATGTATTTACTCAAAATTCACCTTCTCAGGAAAGCCTTCTCTGACCCCACTCTCTAAAATGGCACACTCCTACCCCTTTTACCCACTTTCTTCTTACTCTGCTTTATTCTGTTGCGGTCCGGGAGCTACACGCCTGGAGTCAAGTTCCCCGGTAAATGCGACCCGTGTCCCAACCAAGGACACCCGAGAATCACCAACACCAAGTAGAAAGATTAGCGAAGGATTTATATCCCCGGTAAATGCGACCCGTGTCCCAACCAAGGACACCCGAGAATCACCAACACCAAGTAGAAAGATTAGCAAAGGATTTATACAAGTACAAGTATAGAAGCTTACACAAACTGTCCGGACAGGGTCCCACTCGGAGAGAAGTGAGTGAGACCCCGACTAACAGTCGGGCGAGGCCTTTATACCCTTCACAGGGCGGGAAGTCCCCAAGGCGGGAGGGAGCTGTTTAATTTTGAATCAGCCAATCAGGAACCCGGTTCTTCCCGCCCCAAGCAAGCAAGTTTCTTACAGAAGCCAAAATGTGCTGTTAGCCCTGAAGCTGTTCTTCTGTTTCTTTCGTCACAATTCTCTTCATATTATATATGTATTTTTTAGTTTATACTCTCTTTCCATGAAGTTAGGGACATGGCATGTTCATTACTGTATGTGTAGCATTTAAATATTTGTCTTTCATGTGTGTGTTGTAATTCGAGAGGATTGGTAGGTTATTTGGGCGTGCATAGCCAACCCAGTGAAAGCCTGGCCAATCTTTATAAAAGGCTGGCCAGTGCCAGAACCGTAAAAGGGGGTGCACTCTGCTCTTCCCCTTAAAGCAACCTAATGCTGGACACCTGTCCAGCCTGTGCCATTGCCATCCCACCCACAGAACCTGCAGGCTACACCTCCACCTTACCCTACCCGATCATCAATGTACCCTTAGAGGGTGGAGAGCTGTAACCCTTAATATCCCTTGGGCTGAGAACCCTCTTCTTTCTCCTCACCAGGTAGAAGAGGGCAGAGGGAAGCAGGAGGTGGCGATCAGCGTGTTTTTGTTGTACTCTATATGGTACATCAGTGTACTCTGTGTAAAGACCTCCCAGTTAGAAGAAAAGAACTTGCTCTGATTTCACCTTGGTCTTCAACCAGATTAAGGAAAGTACAGATAGGGGTGCGTTGCCCTGATTCTTGATACTTAAGAGAAACACTACTAAAAGCATGTTGCAAATGGCGTCTCCCCTGGAATTCTCCAGAGCGGCCTCTGGCTTTTTTTTTTTTTTTTTTTTTTTTTTTTTGCGTTTTT